GTACACTTCACTGCAAGTGCCTTTTTACTGCACACAGTGCCTTTTTACTCTTTCACAAACAGTTTTAACAGTTCTACTATCCTACTGTGGTTTTGCAGTCAAATTTTATTACAAATTAGAACACAGGAGATAAGCAGTGTCCTCAAATACATTTAATTCTTTTTTAGGTTTTATACATCATTAAAATAGAAGAGACGGACAAGGGACTATTTGCTCATTCTTTTAAAAGCTCACACACTTTCCCTTTGAATCCTTTCTTCAGTTGGCATACCACAGTGAAGCCTCCATATTTTCAGAATTGATGTAGCTTTCAAAACCATAATCTTTGGCTTTCAAGCTCACTATTATTGCCTTCAGGTGCAAATTTTGAAGTGTATAGGCTTCTAAAAAGAACTTCATGGCCCCAGCCAGCTACTGAAAGGCTTGTAGATCAGTCATCATCACGGTCTAAATTTCTTTTCAAGATAATGTTCCTCACTCAGAGTACACTTGCGCTTATACTCAGTTCACTTGTCAAATACAAATTTGAGGTCATCAAAAGCTTCAGGGCAACTTGAGCTATTCAAAAACTCATTTTCTACCTCTATTTTGCTGGAGAAATAGGATTTCTAATGTAAAAATAATAGGAAGCACTACAGATAAAGAAACAAAGGCACATTATGTGCATGTTTCAGACAGCATTGCAGAGGATAAAGTCAATACAATACCCTAGCATTTTAAAACACTGACAATATCAAAGGCAGGTAATATATCTTGCTATTGAGCTGATACGTATTCTATTCAAAACATGATTTTAGAGTTGACATTTTAAATATATAGGCTTAGGAACAGATGCTAATGATTCTATTTAAGTGTTTCTTTTATAACAGATGAAACATTTAAACACCCTCATTTACAATGTCTACTGTTCATTATAAGTCACAAGTCTGACAAGGGTAAATGAAGCCAGGTTCAGTATTCCTGTTGGCTTATACTTGCTGGCTATATATGAGCAAGTGTTTGTATACTGTTCTATTTTTAAGTTTTATGCTTTATTAAAAAGAATGACAGACCGGATAATACCTATGCATTTTTTAAGCCAGGTTTTTGTTTGCTGTTTTCGTATCCAGAGAACTTTTCCTGTAGCTACAGCTGAATAATTAACATTGTTATGAAAACAGAGAATATACTGAGAAAGCAGGAGAAAAGCTCTTCCCTTTCCAAAGCAAAATGGTGTTTTACCACTGACTTCAACAACCTCAAGAATCCACGTTTTCTATAACACAGTGCTTTGAAAAAACAAACAGTTAAGGAAAATAAGTTTTTGAAAACAGGACTCTGCACCCAAGTCTCTCTTGGAGACATAGGGACAACGGAACAAGTAAACAAACAAACCAATAAACTTAAATAATGCTCATCCAGAGATCCAAATTTTACCTGCTTTGGATCTTAAACTATGACATACCATTAAATACAGTCTAGTTGAAGCTGAAGCCACAAACACCCTCATGCCAAAACTTTTCTCCACATCATAAACCAACTGAAATCCTCCAAATACATTTTTGATGAATTTATGTGGCTTCCACCAATACTATTGCACCTCAAAAACTTGGTCTCCCATTTTGTCCTTTCTAACAGTTTCTCTGTCCCGAAACAGTATTTAAATTGACCATTCCAGCATTTCTTTTCATTTGTATGTCCAATCAACCTATGAGATCACCAGAACAGAAACCACCCCTTCCTACTGGCTGCAAAGCAGACAGCACACTGTATCTGATAAACAAACAGCCGTTTAAAACATGCAATATAGTAAGGTATATCCTCCAGTTATTTCATTTCTTAAGCTATGCATAAGCCTCTGTATTCTAGATGAAACATATTTGTTTCCTTTACTATATCCTATTAAATCATATCCTTTATGGATATAATAATAAAAGTTAAATTTCACACAGCTTGAAAGTTAAAGCGAGTGTCTCATGGTGGTGGGTATGACCACCCAACCATCCAGGGAGGGAAGGAGGAAGGGAAGGGCAGGGCAGGGAAGGGAGGAGGAGAGGACAGGGAAAGGGAAAAGGAAAAAGAGAGAGGAAGAGGAAGAGGAAGAGGAGGAGGAAGAGGAAGAGGAAGAGGAAGAGGAAGAGGAAGAGGAAGAGGAGGAGGAGGAGGAGGCCTAACTCACGAAAGAGCCCAGGGCAGTCTTGTTTTTCCACTCATGTGAGTTCGGTGCTCAATGACCGGATGATTAAAAAAGAGAGAGAGGGAGAGAGAGAGAGAAGGTGTATTCACACAGTCGTAAAAAACTACAGACTACAATTTTGTGGAATGTTCTATACATTGAGGTTAACTGAGGTGCCTTTTGCTTTACATACCACCTACCTCTCTGTCCCTAAAACAGGTATGGTTTGGCATGGTAAACCTTAATTCAACATAGTAGAGGGCATAATCCTTTCTTTAAAATTTCCCTATGTAAAACAATCACCAAAATCTTCTATCAGTATTGATATGGATTGTTTTCATCCACTAGTATTAAAGAAACATTTCTAAGAGAATTAATTTTTAATGAACATTTCAATGTGTCAGGTACATTTTTAGCAACAAAGACAAGCAGTATATAACCCAATGAAATGAGTTGGGGAAAGTATGAAAACATTTATGCTTTATATAAAAGCAAAAACACAAATAAAATTGGTTAAGTGAACTCGTTAATTTGCAAATATGAAATCATTGTACAAAATAACTTTGAAGCTCTGAGCTACTGTAAGTATAATGCAAATATTGATTTTTACTTTGGAAGCAATGAGTACATACTGAATATTTAATAATAGAAAGACAGATACAAAACACTGATTCTAAAATGTCTAGGGAATTAAAACTACTTAACAGCAATTAGTATACATATCAATGAGGCAATAAAAGCAGCCTACCAATATGTTCATCTTTGCACAGATGTTATTTAATTTGTCAAAAGGAAAACATTGACTTTTTATTTCCTTAGATAGTCCTTCATAGATACTACATTAGTGAAATGTCAACTCAGACTCTAAGGATCTCTGAAAACGGGAAATATTTTGCTTAATTGGGTTTCTTATAATTTCGGAGGGAGAAAGGAGACAGGCAGAGAGGGAGGAACATTTAAAACAACTTGAACTATTTGCTCAAACACTGTTGCTTGCCCAGCACTAAAATGTAACATTTCAGAATTTTGGGGGGAAGTGGATTTTTTTTTCTCCTATTCTGAACAACAATAAAAAAATCACCAAATACCTCTGATTTTAAAAAGAAGTAATTATTTACTATCTTGTGTCTTTATGGAAATAAGATCATTTTACTGGTGTGTATATATATACATATATACATGGAAAGAGAGTATAGGTGTATACTCATATATATACACATACACACATATATATAAAGAGGATATACACACACACACACACACATATATATATATATATGAAGAGTAAAGGTGTATACTCTTAGACCTTTAGTGATTGAAACTGATTCATGATACAGCCTTACCCTGAGATACAGCCTTATCCTAAGAAATAGGAAAGTTGTGAAGTAGAAATTGGCCGCTGAAGACCAGTATTGGCAAGCCCTACAGCTACAAATAAGTGAATTTGATTCAACATTTATAGTGATAGCCAATGCTAATGTCAAAGGCAGAGTTGCTAACTATGCTTTTATGCAGTAAAACTAAGATGGATGGTCTCAGCTGGCTACCCCCAAGTGCAGAGTATATGATAGCAGAGAGCAATGGAAAAAAAATCAAGTAACTAGGGGGAAGTAAGGTAAAGAAAGAAAGAAATCAGAAAACCTGCAGAGAGAATGAATCTGGTTACATTTCTCAGGGTCCTGCAAAGCCACAAAAAAAAAAAAAAAAAAAAAAGCCCTGTCATGATAAGGGCCATTAAGGATACTTTGGTATCTGATACTTCAGCAACTTCAGAACTAGTCAGGAAAGGAAGCCCAACACAATAACGTTTGTGTTGGGAAGGATGTGGCAGAGGTGCAATGTCATTGACAGCCATCTTTTCAGGGAAGCATGATACAAGCTACTGAGGTAATACGAGAAATCATTTATGAAAAATATTTAATACACTGGCCTTTAAAAAATTAAGTACAGAAGCTATTCATAAAATCTCACTACAAGTATTAGCTTTTTTAAAAAAATGAAGAAAATACTGTAATATTAATCAAGGGATTTTATTTTAACTAGGTTATTCACTGTGTGAGTTTTGCAAATACAGATTTCATTTCATGGCTGGACAAGAGGCAGTCAAAATATGTGCATAACTGACCCAACCTGGACAGCACTCACAGGTGGAATATAATAAAATTTAGCCTGATATAAGGTAGAAAATAAAAAAACGGAAAAACCACTTTCCTGCCGTCAGAGTGGGCAATACACAGTCTAACAGTTAGGTTATAATCTGTATAGTCTACATAATTTTTAGAAGCATAGAGAGGAGTTCCATAAGTAAAAATCAAAATTCAAAGAAAGAGTCTTTTTTTTCCCCTTTTTTTGGCATATAATACAATTCTTAGGAAAAAAAATCTGAAGCAAAGTTTTATCATGCTTAAATTTCTCAATCTTCACTTCAGCTTTTTCTCTTAAGCATTCAATTTGTTACTAGAAGAAAAAAAAAGAAAAAAGAGACATATTTTAACTGGTAACAGGTCAGCCTTTCTCTCATCAAACAACATTCTTATTTCATTGTTGCTTTGTTTTATTGCATCACCTTCACTGTCATTTCTAAATGCATAGTACTTCACTTAGCTTTTCTTATACGCCTTAAAGATAGCTTTTCACAGCTTGCCAAAGACAGCGTGTATATGGAAATCTGAGAATTTGAAGTGACACAGAAATTTTTCCTCTTAGGTGTATTTGAATGGTCCAAAACCTAAACAGAAAAAGCTCCATTTCTTTCCGAAAATTTTGAACCTTTTTAGCTCTAAAAAGAAACATCTGAAAATAAATTCTCATCAAATCATGACAATACAAAACTATGGTCCTGTCATCAAAGAAATCTCTATAAAGAAAAGACAAGTGCCATAAAAAGGGGATAAAAACTCAAGAACAGCAATTTATATATAACAAATACGAAAATTTAAAAGCACACTCAGGCTGATGGTGTTTTTCAGAGAAGTTCACATTTTTCTCTTACTACAGAAGCAGCAACATATTGGTCTATAAATGATTAAACCATTACAGAGACTTTTGAGACGGCCAGACAGCATACTACCTTTAAGTTAGCAAAATCCTAGCTAATAAAGTGAATAGAAGAAACTAAGATTTAGAAGAGCAAGGTTTGAATAGTCAAACCAAGAGTACAGTCTTTTCTTCACAGCAAGGCTGTCCACTACCTATTTTATTCCAAAATACAAACTTCTTTACTTTAAAAAACAATACTGAGTGAAGCAAACACTATGATTCTAAAGATTCAGGGACTCACTGGAGACCAAAAGGACATACACAAAGTAATCGCCTGCAGTACTTGAACACCATGTATTCAACAACTGAAGAAATTACTAGGAACTGTCACCAGTGCCTTCAACATCAGTTGAAGGAAAGAAGAGAAGAAAAAGCTTTTGTTTATGAATAACAGATTAGCATTGTAAATGATCTATAGTTGCTTCATATTAAGTAAAGGCCTATGAACTGTAAATCATGTAACTGTAGTTTTGTGCATTTTGGCTCCATAACCATAATCAATAATTTTACATTAATTCAAACCTTCTCCAGAAGATTCCTTTTACTCTTACATAGTTAAGTCATAGACATCCCAATCAGATCAAGCATTTCAAAACTTAGTAAATTAAACATTCCTGGGGTACCAGGCTCCAAATCAATGATTTCCAAACAAACGAATGTATCTCAAATCTTCAAAAATATGAGTGAACATCTTAAAATGGTTTTACTGTGCTTTTACTGTTCATATTGTGATACCAGAAAGAATCTGGGATTGTCTCAAGAATACTAAGACACTGTGGGTTAAAATAAAATCTTGAGAGAAGATCTCACATAGCAGGAACAAAAAAATGTTACACCCCTACTAACTGACTGCAGTAAGAAAATTCAAGATTATTCTGAGGCATGAAAGTAGAGGAAAACATGGCAGATCATTTACCAGATTCCATTTTTTTCTAGGAAGTGTGCTAATGCTAAGCAAAGCTTGAAATAGCATTCAGAAATACTTTTTAAAACTGTGGAAGTAATCAAGCAGCTTTCAACAGTTTTTTGATAATGAATTATACACAAACTGTTCAGAAATACTGTTTGTAAGATTTAAAGAAATGTGAAAATAAAATCTAGTAAGCCTCCTTGAAAAGATTCCTATTTGGAGGGCACTTTACAAATATAATTCAGCCTAAATTGCTTTTTCAGATTAAGAAAAATAGTTACAAAACAAAAAAAAATAATGAATGGAATGAAAATAGAATTAAAGTTTCAATAGTTTAAAATGATATAGTAAAAAGGGGCTTATATATAAAGTTACATAGATCATTAGCCATTTTTGAAATAGCTTTTGAAATGGATACAGAAATCCGATAAGTGTCATTTCCCAGTATTTCTCTAATCAGCAGCTGATCACCTTCCTTCTCTCTGAAGATGATTTCAGACTGATGTACATGCTGGCAAACTAAGTAGTTCTCATTTAACTCATGAAGAAAAATTTTCTTCTATTTAACAGGCAATTTTTTGTTTTTTGCTAGTATATAGCAACTTTCCTACATGGTAATGTTATTTGTAATGATAAGGTACAGGATGTAATTGTTTGTAGTTCATGCGTATTATGTGTATTTATGTTTATGTATGTGTTTCTATGTTTCTTACCATCCTTTAAAATGCTTCATCAAGTAGTTTATTCTTTCAGTATATCATATGAACTGCTTTGTGAACATTTTTCAATGCTCCGATGGCAGACATTGCCACATGGCAAGTTAGTCATTCATCATATTTTTACTTCTATAAATTCTTCCTTGAGGTATAAACGTCAAAATAGTAAGTGTGCATATATAAATACATATGTATTTGCACACACACACATATATAAAAATACAAAAAAATAACACACACACACATGTTTATATTTTAGTTCTATATGTGTACGGTGGGATATTCTGGTATATTTAGACTTCGGAACCTTCCTCACTTCAAATATGAACATTTCACAGTTGACATATGTCAATTTTGTTGTTCTTTTGGGGGATGGCAGATTCAAACCGTTTCTATCAAACAGCAAAGGCTTCTCGCAAAGGCTGTATACTATGTTAATAACCTGACATTTATTAAAGTCAAAAGTGGTAGGCCAATTTCAATAAAACCCAATATATTTATTCCTCATCCTGGAATAGCTTAGTGTTCTGTAAGCAGTAACAGTATTTGCAATTCAGGCTTTGAACATCTTTAGATAGCAAAATATATATGAAGCTTTACTACTCACCAGTTTTAATCTTTGCAAAGGTATTCTGCTTGTGTCTATCGGTGTACGTTCTGTGACATTGCCAAATCTGACTTCTGGAATGGCAATGGCACACATTACATGTGCCCACCTGTGAAAAGTGTCAAGAATATCGCCAAAAAGACACAGAAATACAAGTATTAGTATACAACAACCCTTAGTAATATGCTTTTACTATTTCCTTCTGAAGTTGAAGATCTATTTTTTGTTCTGCATTTATTTAAAAGATAACTTCACACAGCTTTAGCAGTTATTTGAAGTACTATAACCATATTTCAGAAAAGAGATGATCAAAATATCAAGCAAAAATTAATTTGTTAATAAACTAGTGTCAACGAAACATTGAGCCAAAGCTCTTCCCTTGTTAGTTATCAGTACAAGAACACCAGGTATTTGCTTACGGGGATTTGTTACTGTTCTTTTAAATAATATTTAATAGTGGAAATCCCATTGTAGTTTGAGTTTTAATTTTATTTTTCCAGGTGCCTTGTGCATTTGATTTATGAAGTGCAAAAGCATTTGCAGTTATGCTATCCATATGTGTACACAGCCCATGCTATTTCATTTGTGAGCAATTTATCACCTACAGCATTCTGGATTAAAATTATTCAGACTTCTGTAACTATTCTTAGATAGCACTCATGGTTACAGGGTCATGCATTTATCAAAGCATATGCTAGTCGGACCTCCTGTTTCCAGACACAAAGGCATAAGACCTGCACACTGATCAGGCCATCACTGAAATGCCCAACACGAACTGTAATCAGTGAAAGCACCTGACAAGTGCCTAGGATCAGTGCTACACGCCAGACATCGATCCAACTTTAGGGAACCTGTCGGACGAGTCTGGATTATGCTATGTGCCTCCTGCCTTTTACTCTCATTAGGTAGCACTGCTCTATCCTCCAAACACAGACAGCTCAAAAAAAAAAAGATAAAACAAAGCCTAACTAAAAAAGTCAGTGAAAGAATTAATGTTTTAAAGTGCATATGATATTAAGCAAAAGCCAACATAACAGCATTTTTATTAAGAAAAATTAGCTTTGTGAGTCTACATATAAAATCTTGAGAGATGAGAGAGGAGGTAAGTGATAACAAGACAGAAATGAATTCCCCACAGTCTAAAGAAAGGTAGACATCTCCTTCCTTAACTCTAAAATTTACTTTATACACCACCCCTCCTTGTATACCTTGCCTCATTACTCTATTTGCTTGTTTTCCAAGCTCCATATCCTAGCCTCATTCCACCTGCTACAGACCACTCAACATGGCAAAGAGGAAATCTTTTCTCTTTCCTACAATAAAGACTGTTGCTATTTCAAACAGTCATATCTACCAAAAATACCTGGAAGAATATAAGAAATAAAAGGACCAAGCAAATGGCTGCCATGTGATATTGAAGTTGCATTAGCCAAACTGTGATATAACCGCTGTATGCAAAGACAACAGTGACTACCAGCAAATTATATTATTCAGCCCAAATGAAAGTAAATAGATCTACAAGTTCTATCATTCCATTATTCTGACCATTTTATGTTCCAACTTATGGAAAAAAAAATCTTGGTTGCAGATTTTTATGTTAGTTTCTCTTCTTCACTGCCTTGCAGCATAGAAAATAATAGTGCCTTAATACCGGGTGTCTTACCACCTAAGGTTTATTGGGACTGAAATGTTATATATAAAATAGATCTTTAATCCATCTGCATCTTAAACTTTTATAGATCTGTTATCTCTCAACCTGCCAGGATTCAAAACAAGTATTGTGCCCCTCAGGGAAGAGGCAATCTCAGCTCTCCTGAGTGCCAAAGATGTTACCCCCACAACCACTTATGATGCACCAGCTATTAACTATAACGTCCATCCTGCATCTGTAGGTAGGTTGGATTTTACACTTCTTGGGGAAAAAGATATAACTGCAACACATTCACACAAGTTTGGAAAAGTAGGTAATGCTTAAAGAGATATGAAGGTCTGGATTAAGTGCAGATCAGGAACTCTGTGTTGTATAGCAACTGTAGTGTTATGGAAACAGGAAGCAAGAGCAGAAATACTTCTACATTTCTTCCATTTCTGAAATCTTTAACAGAAACCTACAGAAGGAGGTAATGCAAAACCAAAGACTTCAGTTATATTTAGTTTGCTTCAACATCTCTTGAGGGATTTTCTTATGAATAAATCTTATGAAGCCCATTCCTGAAATATTTTATGTAATGCCTGAAAAAGATGTATGTGTTTTCAAATGTACACCATTCGATGCTGTCAGCAAGCATCACAAGAAGTGCTAAATTCTACTCAGATAACTCTTTCTTGCTTTTATTTTATTTTGATAAGAAAAGTAGTTAATAATGTATTATGGGAATTTAAAGTAGAATTAAATTGCAATTGAGTATTTTCATGAGCTGGTCAAAACATTCTTCAGTTTGGTAACAATGCTTTTAGAGGATAAGAGCTGGCTCGTAAGTTTCAAGTAAAACCTTCTATTCACTGGACAATTTAAAAAACATGCAACCATTTTCAGATCACGGAAAAATCAACTAATCCAGATAAGTGGAAAAGCATATTACGGATAGATGATCTCAGACACCTGAACTCACTTCTCAATGTATTCCAAAGTGTTAAAATATATACAAAAAGAGAGATGTGCATTATACTGTCGCAGTTACAAAGACTATTCAACTAATTATGCAAACATCCATAACATAAACTGTTCCACGACTAAGCTACATTTTCTGTTTTAACTTTTAGGATTATTTTATATATTGTATTTTCATCAAAACGAACAGAAAAATATTAGTTCTGTTAATAGTAGGATGCCAACAAAAATGCTACTTTTCAGAAGGTGTGTTAAAAATGTTTTTAAAAAACACATCGAATCCAGAATAAATTTTAAATGATTCTAATTAATTAATGTGGAATACTGGTTTCTAACAAAAGTTCAGAGGTATTATACTATTTTATAATTAACAATTTTCAGGACTAAATAAGGAAATATATATATCTTCACTATTTGGTAAGACTTGCTCATGCAAACAATCCCAAACGAATTCTCACTTGCTTTCTTTAAAGAGTAATCAGCAGCATGGAATCTGGAACAAGTAAATGTATGCAAATAATAAAGCAAATGTACATTTTAGCATCTAACTACTTTCACGAAATGTCAGTGGCACATTTTATTCAAAGCAAATTTAACTCTGCAGTAACTTAAGGGGACATGATTGAGTAATGATATTTGCAAATGCTATCTAAATGAGATTGGATTGTGAATAAAGTTTTTAAAAAGCATGTACATTCTTGAAGTATACATTACTTACTTCTTGTCAGTAGTTTGCTTTAACGCTCCACCTCTCAAATTACAGAGACAACATTCCTAAAAATAGAAATAGAGGAAAAACAAGTGAGCTTTAACGACTTGTTGCAAATCTGTTTTATTCAGCTGATATTAAGGATATGCAAATAGTTATTAATTACTAGCTTACAACCTCACATTTATAGGTATTACAAAGATATAACATCAAGAAGAGTAATACATCAAAAGATCTAAGGAAAAATAAATTTTAAGTATCACTCAGACGAACTAACAGAATTAATGAAAGACATTGCAAATGAAAGGCATTCAATTAGTGCAGCAACTGAAAGGTTGGAAATGTCATGCAGCTCACCAAGTTAAAAGAAATTATATATTATTAACTTAATAAAAATTCCTGGGAAATCTCTTATTTATACTCTACAGATTCAATTTAAATACCTCGAATATTTGTTGCTTCCGCCAGACCAATCTCTAACTTAGAAACTTACAGAATGATTTTCTTTTTCTTTGCAAAAATTCCTTTTGCTGGGGAATAAGTTTGCTGCCTTGATGAAGCTTCAGTCAAGCTCCATCTGCTTTCAAGGTACTCAGCAAGGCATATTTCAGTGATTCCAGAGAAAACGCCAAATAACATTTTTTTTTTCTTAAAACTATGCACTTATACAAATGCACAGCCCTATTTATTCACCAATCATCCTCTCTCTCTCTCTCATCTATTCCTTCTTTTCCTTTCCACTTTTCCTTGTGCCTTTATTGGGAGGAATTGGAAAGTCTTTATATTGCTACTTATTTTTCTTCTCCATTTTGTTGATCTCTACAAAGAGCAAAATGCACAAAATGAAGTCAAGCTATTACATCTATTCATAAAGAAAGAGGCCTAAGTTTATCTCATCTTAAAACCTCTAATGATGGAGATCAACGTCTGCCAAAAATCTAACTGAATGCTTTACTGTCTTTCCTGTGAGAAAGACCTCACACACCAACAAATTACCTCCTTGCAACAAATGAACATTCCTTGCAGTTTAAGCGCATAACTTTTTGTCTGAATCCAGGGAGAATTACTAACCCCTTTCTCTTTTAGAGCACCTTTTTGTGTACTACGATCTTATTGAGGAGATGTGGGGAAGAACAGTTCTGTAGAGGACCTGCAAGAGTCCTAGAACCGGACTCAACATGTTCTACAACATGTTCTAATTCATCATATTAAGACAGTTCAGAGTCTTTCAGACATTCAGGTTTCGGCACAAAAAGAGGAAAAAATAGAAAATAAAGAGGATGTTATTGCACCAGTGAGTGCTTCAACTTGCACTGCTTGCAACTTTTCAACAGAGGAAACAGTGTTTTTTTTTTTTAAAAAGAACTTTTTCATTTGGCTGTTGGAAAATAAGTCAGTCTATTCCTTCCAGAACAGGCATTTTTACTCAGTTTGTACTTTTGTGAGGTTCTCTCCCCAGATCTGATAAATCCTGCCTTGTTCTAAGCCTAACCCAAGAAGACAACCCAAGAATTTCACAGAGTGGAGGAGAGGAGGAAAGGAGAGGATGAAGGAGGGACGAATCATAATCAGTCTCAAAGCACTTCTTTGACTTGTCTGCACAAGCATAAGCAAGAAGGGATCAAGACAAGCAACTTCCTACAATTCTAGATTCACATGCCAATTATAACTAGTTTAATGTACCACCTCCTATTTTTGTTTCAAATCATAAGTCTATCACATGATGCTGTTGAACTATTGAATTTTCCTTTTTTCCTTTTCCTTTTTTTTTTTAATCTTTAAAATATTTGCAGAGACTCCTTATATAGCACCCCCTTGCTATACCTGTGGATACACAAGTATACTCACAATATTGTCCTAAAATCTGTGAAAAAACATTACTACCTTATCCTGAATAAGACATTTTGGCTTCACGAACAGCATTCAAGTGGTGAAGTTTCTGGAGTACATAAAGGTGAGGTAAAAACTTTTCTAAATTAGATGCTAAATAATCACATTGCTTAGGCTTTAGACACTTTAATTCACTTCATGATGAGCTGATTCTGATGTGAGAAGAGAAAAAATTCACTATACAGATGAAGGGCAAAGTGCACCGTTTCCAGTGAAGTACTTTAAAAATCAATACCTGAATAATACCAACTTATTTTGCTTTGTCTTTTAAGAAAAACATCAGTGCAATCCCTTGCTGAGTAATTTGCTGATGCAACAAGACAGAGTCCAAAGTGCCAAAAAAACTTTCACAAATGAATTAAACTAAAATAACATACCAAAAAAATCCGTATCAGATATTACTAAAATATTTCTCCTGCGGATTTTCCATCTCTTAAACATCATAAAAAACAAGAATTGAGAATTATATACTGCAAGAGCCATTAGGAATAATCATCCCCATGCTACACAAATCTTTGATGGCAGAAACTAAGGACTAGGCAGTACAGAAAGTTTTTGTTCTCTGGTGGATATAGACTGTTACAACTTAGACCCTAAGAACTAGAAAATTTCAGCAGTGTTTATAGCAAACCTGAGTGAGAAGCCACATCGACTAAAAGCCTATGAGATCTATTCCTCAACTCAGGTCTGCACTGCAGAATATTCTCCTGCCCCCACCTGAAATGTTTTTATACAGTTAAAGGAAATAAAAATGTACGGGGCTGGATATTGACTATGGTGAATAGTAACATTTAATCAATCTGGAAAGTTGGAGCAAGCTTATACTTGATAAATTTTGAACACTAAAAATAACCAGGAAAAGAATGATTCAGTGAAAGTCATTATGTATGTAGCAAATAGAGGAATTATTTGTTCATTTCTAGCCACCTTTCCTCACATAGTTCTTCTCCCAGCATCTATTTCCTGCAGGATTGTTTAAACATATTGTGTCACATTTACTGACATCCTAAGCTCGTGCATGCCACAACCTTCAAACTCTTCTGCAGCAACTGCCCGTACCTTGCTCCAAACCCCTGTATCTGTGCAAGTAACTATTCTATTTTCACTTTCTTGCATTTTTCTCTATTTAAATATAATAGGGAACTTAAATATAATAGGGAAAAATGCAAGAAAGTGAAGTTTGATTATCCCCCTAGAATATTTCAATAGTTCATTGTGATGTTGTTTGTTTCTGATTAATCTTATTGCACAGGCTTCATTAAAAATGGTTGTTCAGCTTGCGAAAGAGAATAGAGTTTGAGAGGCACCAAGAAAAGCATAAATAGCATGGAAAGGGTGATTGAGTACTTCTACGCTAGGCTGCTAACACAGGGGACCAAAAAGTAGCAGATTCTAAACAAGCAAAATTGTTCTCCTCAAGTTTACCATGTGTGGATGCTAAAGAATGCTTGCCTTAGAGACATATTCTTCCTAGGTAACCATTTCTGTCTATGCTGGACACAAGATAACAAGATAGAATAGACTTTGGTTTAATTAATTAAGACAGATCTTAGGTTTTTATGTAAGCTCACATTTTAAAACTTAAAAAAATACTTTTTAAGATGCTTTATTAAAGATCCATAGATACTAAGAACATCCCCAATTCCTCAGCACTGACAGGATTCAAGAAAATAAGTAACTACACTCTACACACATCATGACGCATAAAAACACAGCAACAGAGTCAACTGAACTTTGAATCATCAGTTTACACCATAACAGCTACGTTGTTATCATTTAATTTTTGCGTGCTTGTAAGACTACTGGTCAACTAAACAAACAAACAAACAAAAGGATTCACCGAAATACAGAAAAGCAGATTTATTTAGCAGTGGTATCAGAATGAATCATTTCAGGTAAGCCTGGATTTTGGCTGGTGGTTTAAATAAATGCAGGTACTGATGATGTTTGTAGCACTTTAAATAGGACACTGTTTACTCAGTTAATGATGTATTTCCATTCCTCCCTGTTAACTATTTTTCCTGTGCCTCTACTGACTCTAACTGGTATCTGAAAGCATTTAAGAATCTAATTATAGTGCCTAGGATAGGTAATTCTTTTTTTTCCAAATTTTCCAGCAAGAGACCAGAATAGTTGCTTTCAAGAGTAAACTGTTGCAAAGCTGTGTCAGAGTAATACTAACTTACTGGTCTCATTAAAAAGTAGCTGGATGGGAGAAAATCCACAACTAATTAAAACAGACATCTAATCTTTAACTCTGCCACAGCCAAGTCACAACAATACAATTTGAATGGCTGAAGCTGAAAAACAATTTGTGTTTTTTTCAAGACACTGTGGCAGGCTTTTAGAGGGCAACCGTTGAACTCAAAACAGATGCCCTTAGTCTTCCACCTTCCTCCTCAATTGGTTTGTAATGCTCAAAATATCATCTCCCAACATCAACCACATGAGCACTTGGGTATGGCATTGCTCCCTTTTCTGCTGTCTCTTTTCTCTAGTTTATTTAAGCCCAAGTCCTATATTTTATATTTGCGCAAACAGCAAAAGGCTGTGGTTTCTATTCTTCTTAATATTATTATTTCTATTTTTTTAGAAAACATCAAAGAAAAATGTTACTCTGCCCACAAGAATAAAACATTATCTTTTTTTTTTTTTTGCATTTTGTAGATACTTAATACTGATTGAACAGGCTAGCTAATTTCATGAAAGAGAAATCCATCAAGAGTTGCTGTTCATTTAATGCACAGACACTACTTCAGCTAAGGCAGATACAGAAACTTTGAAGGCAGATTCAAAAACCTTGAAGAAGGTTCTTGAAATTTGAAGGTTGCTGCACTTCAGCGGTAAATGAGCATTTTACTCTTTCTGATGTATTAAATCTGTTCAAGTCATCCAGGTGTTTGTTTCAGGGATGGTCAGAAATTTCCTTCACTGTCTACAATTCACATTCTTAGACAGCATCAGGACACACAGTGTTAACTCGTCTCTGCCGTATCAAAGACCATTTTTACAAATATTGCCTGTATTGTTACTAGACTAACAGCAGAACAGGAGAAAGAAATACTCAGTCTCCCTATTCCCATATAGTCCACACATAGTACCATTTAAAAGACATCTATCTGCGTAAAAACTTGGGGAAAAAACACATTGAATTTTTTTTTTTCTGGTAGGATAA